CCCCCCCCCCCCCCAATTTATACAGTTCTGGTTTGTAACACATCCAGCTCACTTCCCATAACCATTCCCACCTCCTCCCCCAGTTACTTATGACAGCCGAAAGATGCAAAGCAAAGGGAGAAAATCTTGAAGGCTGACAGGGGTCAAGCTATTTTCTAAAGCACCCAAAGGCCAGAGAAGGAATAATGGATGGAAACTGAACAAGGAGAGATTCAACCTGGAAATAAGGAGAAACTTTCTGACAGGGAGAGCAATTAATCCATGGAACAGAAGTTGCCTTCGGAAGTTGTAGGAATTTCATCACTTTTCAAAAAGAGATTGGACTGCCATCTGTCAGGGATGGTTTAAGGTCTCCTGCTTAGGCCTGGGGTTGGACTAGATGACCTACAAGGTCCCTTCCGACTCTGTTAATCTGACTTTATCTGACTTTATCTGACAAAAGGACCAGGGGAGACAGGATAGCAGTCTTCCAGTATTTGAGGGGCTGCCACAGAGAGGAGGAAGGGGGTCAAGCTCTTCTCCAAGGCACCTGAAGGCCAGGCAAGGAACAATGGATGGAAACTGATCAAGGAGAGATTCAACCTGGAAATAAGGAGAAACTTTGTGACAGTGAGAACAATCAACCCATGGAACAGAAGTTTCCCTCGGAAGTTGTGGGAGCTTCATCCCTGGAGGCTTTCAAGAAGAGACTGGACTAGCATCTGTTAGAAATGGTGTAGGGTCTCCTGCTTGGGCAGGGGGTTGGACTAGATGACCTACAAGGTCCCTTCCAACCTCTGTTAACCTGTTATTATTCTGTTATTCAGAAGTTGTGGGCGCTCCATCCCTGGAGGCTTTCAGGAAGAGACTGGATGGCTTCCCTCTGTCAGCAACATTATAAGGTCTCCTGCTTGGGTGGGGGTGGACTAGATGACCTACAGGTTCCCTTCCAACTCTTGTTATTCCGTTCTTCCCTCAACCATGGTGTCCCTAACTCAGCCACTGTACTGATTCCCTTTAAC